GGAGGAATATACTTTCCTTCCCAAGATATCCAGCCTTTTAGCCTCCTTGTCATTTGAGGAATTTTTGGTTTGAGACGTTCTTATTCTCTGCTGTGCAGCGTCTACAACAAGGGAGTTAGGCTGAGGATGTGTGAACAGAAACTCCATATCCTTCTGAGTTATGAAGTATTTCTTATCCGACCGCTTATTAGTTGGTAGCGATGTGGCCGGAGTCTGCCAGATGTCGTTGGCAACCTCCAGTATAGCGTCATCAAAGGGAAAAGCGAGCTTTGACTTCTGGGAAGGTTGTAAGTTCTTCAGCAGGCGATGCTGTTTCTGTTGTATAGCCGTGGTCTGGATGTCTTGAGATTGCGCAACCCTCTTGAAGAGTTCCTGGAACTGCTTGTGGTCCTCTGTAGGAGACAAGTCCGCAGGGACAACTGCGTCATCCGGCGAGGAAGAGGAACGCTGCGCCGGTGAATCAGGGCTCTGGTGTCCTTGAAGAGGAGTGTGATCCTGCCTATCCTCCTGATAATGCGAATCCAAATCCCCAGCCGAGGATGGTGGAGCAACATGAGGAGTAGGCTCGTCTGGACCATGTGGAGATTCAGGGGGAGAAAATTGCGGTGACCGCGATCGCGAATACCTTCTGTGGCGAGATGAATGAGAAGAGCACTCGTGATAACATCGGTTGACCCGGCGGCTGTGGCAGGGAGAACGGCCGTATCTTCTCATCGTGTCATATCGACGAGGACACTCTATACGTCTTGGAGACCTTGGTGAAAGGGATCTCTTATAGTAGCGTGAAGGAGACCACGAGTAGTGGTCCCGATAGTATCGACGTGGCGGCAAACGACGAGGTGTCCTATAGTAGAGTTCCCTGGGGGCCGTGTAACGATGAACATGACGATGGTAACCAGCATGGGACGAGGTAGGTGAATCCGGCCCAGGGGAGAAGGTGACACGGTCCGGTGTCAGGGACGGTGTCCGGACCCTTGCAGATTTTTGCTGCGCTTTAGTTGGCACTGAGGAATTGAAGGCAGGCTGAGGGAAGCGCCTGTGGCAGAATAGCAGGCAGCAGTGGAGCCTGTACCACTTGATCATCGGCAGAGCAAGGGCTCGGTGCTGTTGGATCAGCTGGGGATGACGTGAAAGCTGGAGGCTGGGGTGGCAGAGACTCTTGCTGCGGTGCCGCATCAGGGGCCGATGTGCCCGGCACTGAGGAACACGGAACGGCACTCAGAGGAGGCGCTGCGGGTGCCGACACAGCTGGTTGCAGGCACGCATGCGCAGGAACTCCCGGTGCCGGGGCTTCTCTTGCCGGCTCCGCCATGGCCGTTGAAGCTGTTGCCGGCACCAACTCCGCTCGCAAAGCCTTTGCGGGTACCGGAGCGGAGCTTTTGTGGCGGATTGCAGTTGGGAAGCCGTTGCCGGCACTGACTCCACTCGCAAAGCCTTTGCGGGTACCAGAGCAGAGCTTTTCTGGCAGGTTGCAATTGGGGCAGAGGAGCTACGGCCCTTGCCCGACTTGTCCACGGGGAGTCTCGGTGCACAGCCAGAGCTCCCCGGTTTGTCCGAACTGCCGCCCGGCGTCTTATGGATCCTGCGGGAGATCTCTTGCCCAGCTTGATCTTTGGGAGCAGAGCGCGGCTCGGAGTCTTCTGGAGCTTGGAGAGCCTTATTAAATAAAAGGACCCTCAGTCTCAGCTCCCGATCTCTTCTGGCGCGAGCTGTCAGCTTTGCGCAATGGCTGCACTTTGCTGGGACATGAGTGTCCCCGAGACACCGGACACACCGTGAGTGTCCATCGGAGACAGGGATAGCCTCCTGGCACTGAAAACACTTCTTGAAGCCAGGTGATCCTGGCATCCTTGAGTCTTTTTTCTGTTAATAAGTTCTTTTGTCAATTTCAGTCAGGAAGACACTGACTGACTGCTGAAGAAAAACAGGGTTTTTTTTTTTTGGTTTTTTTTTAATAAACAGGAAAAAAAAGAGGGGGACTACAACTACTAACACTATAACTGATAACTATCTATGACTAAACAAGAAAACTAACTAACTAAGAGACTTTCCCTTTCTCCTCAGAGAGGGGAAGGGAGCCCAATCTAACTCTGTCTGTGGCTGCGGACGGTTGGAGAAAAACTGACAAGACCGGACTGCGCTCAGATGAAAGGCGCGAAGGGGCCGTCGCGCATGCGCAGTCCGGTAGGGGGCTACTGCTAATGAAAAATCCTCCGGTTTGCGGCGCCGGGACGAGCCCAGCACCTCGAGTGGAGCACCCTCAGGGACACTACTCGATGAAGAACTTACTCTGCAAAACTGTTTTTTTGAGATGCAGTAAGTATGGATCATGCTGTAGGTGCACATGCACCGGAACTCAAAATCCTTTTCGCAGCAGTCTGTAGTCGAGCTGCACATGCATGGTATGCCTCCTCATGCTTTTGGATCAAGGCATAAAGCAGGGTGGGCAAAAGGGCCTTCACGGGTTGGATTCGGCCCGTGGAGACCCTGCTGTTCCCCCGCCCCCAGGTCAATTAGGGCCTGGGAGTGGGGAAAAGTGCATGAAGTTTCCTCTGCCCTGCCAGGAGCACATGGCTCCTGGCAGAGTGGGAGAAGATTTCGCATGCTCTCCCACCCTAAGTTCTGATTGGCCTGGGGGCAAAAGGGGTAGCGTGCAAAGTCTCCGTCCACCACCAGGGACACAAGTGCTTAGGGAGAACCTCGGGGGGAAGAGGGGAGAAGGCACTTCCCATCTCCAGACCAATCATAGTCTGTGGGTGGGGAAGCAGGGAAGTATGCTGATCCCACCCCTTCTGGTACAGCCTGGGACCACTTCAAAAATTTCTGAAGTGGCCCGGGCAAAAAATTATTGCCCACCCCAGCATAAAGGGAAAAACACTTAAGTATCAGTCTAAAGCTCAGCACCTCTGGCTTCTGTAATCCAGGATTCCTGATGCTCCTCAGCTGGAGCTGGCAAGGTGCAACTTTCCTCCTCAGTTGTCAACCCTGACTGAGCTGGTCTGCTCCCTTTTATATAGCAGCAGCAGCATTCCCAGCAGCATTAACCCCTTAATTTCCAATGCAGGGCCTGTAAACCCCATCACGCGCAGCTGTTAAGATTTTGGATATTGGTATATTAAGGAAGTCTATGGATGCTACTTGATCTGTGGTGGAAAAACCTTTAATAGCTGGCAGGAAAGGTACATCTTTAATTCTCAGGTTCTATGATCCTAGATACATCTTTAACCCTCAGGTTCCATAATCCTCTAAGTAACAGTATCACTCTACTCAGCACTCAGGTCTCAGCTGGAGTACACTGTGATACAATGCATTATCCACTTCAAAAATGCGATTTAGACAAACCAAATTTCAAAGTGTCAATATTTCCTGGGAATCTGAAATTTCAAAATTCAACCACTTCTAACAACAAAGTAACTTCTGTTTGTAAACACTCATTAGAAAGGCCCCTCTGAAGTGGGATAAGAAAGAATGCAGGTAGGGAGCAAGGAAGTCAACTGAATGGTGCACTGTGAGTAACGATGTCCAAAATTCATTTATTATCTGTCTTGTTCAACCATGCCTGGTGGTAAGCAGTAAGGTAGTTTTCTCAATATCAGCTCTGGAGTGGTCTTTGTGTGGTCTCAACCATATCATAAAACTTTCTGTCTCAGAGGGAGGCTGATACAAGATGGAGGAGGAAAACAACAGACAACTCCACAAGTATCAGTGTTGCTCTCTTGGTGGATACTTGGGTTGGCAACTGTGACAAAACAATAGAATTCTTTGCTTCAGGGGTGGCTGCAGCAATATTCACAATACAGTGCTAGAGTATAAATGTACAGCATCTCAGTGTTGCCTTGGAATCTCTGAGGAATACCACATTTAATTTGTTCTTGTCCTAACCAAGTCCATATCTTCAAAGGGCAAGTCCTCGGTTCTAGCTTAGACTTCTCTTGGTATCCCAAACACCTAAGCCAAAACGCCCAGTACACGACGACTGCTTTGGCATGCCATGAGTGACTGTATCAGATTCACCTATTGCCTCTGGTAGCATAGTTCTAACTATCATTTTGATCCTGTCTATTATCTTTTCCTTGCCATATTGTGAGAATCATGATAGGAAGGGGATCACCTTCTCCCACAACAGGAATTATTTTTCATCAACAGTACATGATAGGTCATAGTGTAAAATTGGTGGAATGCTGAGAAGTAGGCTGTTAGGCTGAAAATGTCCAGCTTCTTGGGGTGCTTATCTTTAGGAAAGTGGTAGGCAAATACCGGCCCATGGACTGCCTCTACAGGTACAAGTGATCACAGCTCCCATTGCCTGCAGAACGCTGTTCCTGGCAAATGAGAGCTGTAGGGCAGTGTCTCATTTGCTAGGGATGAATGCTTCCCCAAGACAGAATAGGCAGCTGCTGTGTTCATCTATGATGGGTATTAACTAATAGCAGAAAGGATAAGTGGGTTTAACTTAACTCCTGTGGGTTCTTATTCCATTTTTGTCAGCAGCAGATACAAAGGACTCGACCCAGCTGTACAGAGGGAGAAATCTCTCTTCTGTCTGTCCTATCTGCTTTTTTTTCCTTTCTCTTTTTTTTTTTTTTTTTTTTTTTTTTGAGGAGAAACAAAAATCAAATGAAGACATTAATAAAACAAAGTGAAAAAGAATTTCTTCACTGGAGAAGCGTTCTGAAATTCAGAGGCAAGTTGGATGTGTTCCAGTTTCTGTCTTATTGCCATGGCAGTAAGCTGGAATTAAGGGATGGTTGAAGACACTTTGCCCTCTATGTCTTCTCATGGGAGCACAAGGAGACACAGCCCCATTGGACATGGAGGTGCAAAAGATTCCAAGCTTGAACATATGGCACATGCACACTTATAGCAAGATCCACACTGACACATGTTGAAGAATATATATGCCACATAGAAAATTAAGGAAATGCCCAAATAAAATGTCTCAGGAAAATCCATGTATATCTACTTCCATAAATATTAAGTAGGAGACGACTTCTCGTTACCTAAGAACCTCTCGGAGTATTTTCATTTCTTGTTGTTCAATTTCAGTGAACACATCAGAACCATCTGTCAAACAGTCAGGTAGCACACCTATAAAAAATAGCAAAAATGAATGTGTGGCTCAAAGAAAATGGACTCCATTTTGCATGCATTCTTCAACCAAAGAGAGAAAAATATGGGAAAATTACTAAACATTAAATTCTGCATTTCAGAAGATATGTTTCAAAAAAGATTCTAAAAGTTTGGATATCAACTTCCCCAGTATGAGATTGGCAGAATTCTCAAAGCTCTGAAGGACTGTCGTGTCATCCCGTCCCCCTCCCTCCCCCCAGGGCAGCTATAGCTGGTAGACCATGACCTAGACTCTCTATTATTCTATACCATTTCCTGCAGGCTATAAATGCTGCTGCCTCAACAACGATTCCAACCAGTTCTGATGCTCCCAAGTGCAAAGCCAATCAAAGTAATTTTTTTCTCCCAGACTAAAACTATTACAGTAAGGAAAAAAAAAAACACAAAATGATAAAATCCCCAAATTTTGAAGAGTGGAGATGGATGGATGAATGGGAATCTTATCAGAAAGATCCTGAGGGAAGCACAATTACGGTTAGGTAATTATCCCTCACCTGAAAGGTACTCAAGTTTTATGTTGATGAGTAGTATAAAACCACCCATGAGGAACTCTGCATTCAGTAGAAAATTTGGATAATGTGCAGTAAATAAGGCATTTGGCCACACAACTGAATGACAATAAAAAGAAATATTTGAGAGCTATTTATTCAATGAGCACTATCCACACTCTACACTAAATGAGGCAAGGGTCCGGTGGAAAAAAAAAATTTATGATCATGTAAATACAATTATAATGCAATTGCCTCAGGGACTGGGGATTCAAAAACTCTTGGAGCCCTAGATCCTTTAAAGCACTGCCAGCGTGCCTCGTGGCATACTCCGGATGGCTCTGAGGGCTGACTGAGGGTGGGGATGCAACGTGGCATATTCCAGGCAGTGCTGAAGGCTGGCTACCCAGCCCTGCCCATTCTGCCTGAGGCCCTGCCCCTTCTGGGAGCACAGAGCTGTCCCCCCACCCACATTGCCCCGGGAACCCAACAAATCTGTCAGTTCTCCTGTCATAATGCATACTCAGAAGGGAGTCAAATTAAGGTTACATAGGCAACTTTAATTCTGGCGTTTTCTTGTTTTTAAGTGCTTGACTTTGCAACCTTAATGTTTTAATAGAATTTCTTGTATATTATATATGTCCATGTGTTTGAGTCTGTTATTCACACAGAATACCATCGGTACTTTTCCTTCTACGTATCCCCAATTCAGGGTTCCACCATGGCTCCTTTATGCTGGTTTTAAAAAGGAAACAGCTTACATAGACAATCCAAACTGTCTCCAAATGCCCCCACTGGCTTGGGCATTCAGCTTCTAATCCCTGGCTCTGACTCTCTGCTCAACTATTGGCTATACCTCCAAATGTTCCATGGTCCTCATCTTGGACTCTGCTTTAATTTCTAGGCTTGGCTCTGACAGTTAGGCCGCTCAGCCATGTCCCAGTCATATCCATTTTACTATTTCTTGTAAAAACTATATACTTTATTTATACACATGCACACTTTTGTTGTACACACTGAAACGGAAGAGGAAAATTGCAAAACCTCTACGAAAGTTTCAAACTCACTGTATCAAATACTAGAGTTGAAGTCTCCAGACAATATTATACTGAAATTAGTTTATATATACAGGCAGTCCCCGACTTACGCGGATCCGACTTACGTTGGATCCGCAGTTACAAACGGGGCTCGCCCCGGAGGACACGGACTGTGGGACCTCGCGGTCCTGCCGCCCGTGTACTCCGGGGCTTTCTCCGCGTCTCCCTGGTCTGCAGACCAGGAAGACGCGGAGCAAAGCCGCGGGGCGGCTCGGGCAGCGAGGCAGCCCAGGCGCGCCTGGGCTGCTCCGCTGCCGGCTTCCCCGTTGGATCCGCAGTTACAAACGGGGCTCGCCCCGGAGGACACGGACTGTGGGACCTCGCGGTCCTGCCGCCCGTGTACTCCGGGGCTTTCTCCGCGTCTCCCTGGTCTGCAGACCAGGAAGACGCGGAGCAAAGCCGCGGGGCGGCTCGGGCAGCGAGGCAGCCCAGGCGCGCCTGGGCTGCTCCGCTGCCGGCTTCCCCGCGGCTTTGCAAAGCCTCGGGGGAAGCCGGCAGCGGGACAGCCCAGACGCCCCGTGGTTGTCCCCCTGCCGGCGTCCTCAGAGGCTTTGTTTCCCGTCTCCCCCGGCTGCCTGTGTT